CTTTGATTTACAACTCTTACTGGAATTGAAGCCAAAGGACCGTCAAGTGAGTAGCTCGAATGGTTCCAAACCGAGATGGCCCCGTTGCCGATTTTCCCAAAAAAATATTGTACAACCTAAAAGCTAACTTTTAGTGAGACAACCTTATTAACAAGATTGACAACCTTTTCATTGATGATAATGCACAAGCCATTGCTGAGATGCCATTACATCCTCAAAACGTTACTGTTTGGTTTGCTCTATGGGCCATGATTAATGGCTTCTTTGAGCCTGAATTGGAGTATGTTGATGTGGGCGACCTTTGGTTCCAACAAGAAGGCACTATACACTTTACAGCTGGAAAACTAGCAATTCATTGAAGGAAACTTTTGGTGAGCGCATAACCTCACGTCGTGATCCTATAGTGTGGCTTCCAAGTCCATGCGATTTAACGCAGCTGGGGTATGTTTGGTGGGGTTATGTTAAGTCCGAAACTATCGACGCTTTGAAAGATAATATTACAGATGCATATATAATAATATATATAATGGAAAACCCACCCAATAAGAGGTGTTACTTTAATATTCAAAAAAAAAGGTTTCCCTTAAAAGATCGCTGGTTTCGTTACTTGTATGGCACGTAGCGTCATGCTATTGAAAGTAAACGTTGTCCAGATCAATACCATACAATTCCAGCCATAAAAAATCATGAACCATCTCTCGATAACGCAATCCAATCAATTTCGAAAAAAGGTCCAATGACCCCGCCAGACCATAAACCGCACCAACCAGTTACACGTTGATGATGGCGAGGGTTTTCAACAATAAATCTGGGGTCTTCAGAGCCTCACATGGCACAGTTTTGCTTACTAATGTAGCCATCGAGGTGGCAATGGGTCTCATCAGTTAAGATGATTTTTCGATGAAATTTTTTGAATGACTTTTAATAATTATAACAAGTGTATCGTTTCATTTTCATTATTTACGTAGGTTTTACCTGCGCTTTGTCAAAAATTTACAGCTACAAACGTGATATATACCGGATTTGCAAGCTGTTCAAAATGATTTGTGTTCAAATTTTGTGTGAAAATTTGTGAAATTAAGTGCGCGGATGCTTTTCGAATGTTAACTGTGGCATACGGAGAAGCTACCTTGGACCGAAGCAACGTTTATCGGTGGGACAAAATGTTCTCAGAAGGCCAACAACAGACGAAAAAATTAATCGCTGAGGCGTGGTGCATCACGAGTTCTTGCCACAGGGTAGAAAGGTCAATAAGGAATATTACCTGCATGTTATGTGCAATTTGCGCGAAGCAATCCGCCAGAAACGCCCGGATTTGTGGAAGAACAAAAATTGGCTTCTGAACCACGATAACGCCCCCGCTCACACATCGTTGCTTGAGCGCGACTTTTTGGCCAAAAACAACACACTAATGATGCCGCAGCCACCGTATTCCCCAGATCTGGCCCCCTTTGACTTTTTCTTGTTCCCTAAACTGAAGAGGCCCATGAAAGGACGAAGTTACGCTATGACTGACGAGATAAAGACGGCATCGGAGGAGGAGCTAAACAAGATAAAAAAATGATTTTTTGAAGTGCTTCGAAGATTGGAAAAACCGTTGGCACAAGTTTATAATATCTCATGGGGATTCCTTTGAAGAGGACAAAATAGATATTCATGAATAAATAAATAATTTTTGAAAAAAACACAAAAATTCGCGATATTTTTTGAACACGCCTCGTATAGTATGCACCGGTCATAAAACCTTTTGTTAGTCGCCGCATCTTTTCATGGAATTATTGAGCGTTACCCTTGTCGGCCGACTTCTCAAGATCTTCATATTCACACATTTCGGCATCATTCTCTATTGTCTGTAAATCCATCTTGCTTTCTTATTCAATTCTCGGCAACTATCCCATCGCACACTTGCAGTGGCCAGGCTGTTTCTCCCCATTGCGGTTCGACATTCTTCATCGTCTCTTTTTCCATATCTCAGACATTAATATTTTGCTCTTTAGTTTCTCCAAGGTTTATTTTTTTAAAAAAATTTTATTTCCAATGTAAATTTTATAGTTGTGAACAAATTTAATTTCGAAAGTAAATGAATATTTGAATCCATCATTTAATGGCTGGAAGACCTCATGCTTCTTTAACTGCCTTTAGACGACGTAGGGTAGATATAACCAAATTTTCGATTTCCGATGGCGCAATTTCAGACTATGCCTTTTTCATTCCATTCTTCCAAGGCTTATTCGCCGCCATAGTAATTTTTCGTGCCAATAACTCCCAAATGTGCTCATTGGGGTTCAAGTCTGATGATTGCGGCGGACTATAAAGCTGCTGAGGAGCATAATACAATAGTCATTCCTTCCCCAAACCCGCCGTATGCTTAATCCCGTTGACTTGTTGAAATATCTACGAACTTCCGAGACCGTAGGAATCCACGGAAGATTGCTTATGTTGATCCAAAATACTTTTGTAAACATATATGTTCACTATTCTAACGACAAACGTTAAATGTCCTACGCGAGGTTGCTCCAAACGCTTCCCAAACCTTGACGCTACCCTCACCGTGCCTAACGGTTTGTATTAAATTTTGGCTTTGATAAGCTGTCATTGCTTTACGCCAAATTTTTACGCAGCCAACGCTTCTGAAAGCGTTAAATTTCGATTCGTCCGTAAGCAGCAGTCTGCTCCAAAAGAATTGCTATAGTTTTTGGGTGTACAGTTCTGCCCAGTATTTTAGCATTGCTGTTTGCTAACTTTGGAGCACTTATTTTAGGATTTTTTTCTTTACTTTCGAACAATACTTAGCACACTCGCATAAGGATTATCAAGATTTTTTACTATATCTCGGTATCTCCTTCTTAAAAATGTTTAATCATTAAGTTTTTAATACCACCCTTTATCTGTTTTTCTTGACCTATTTTTCGTTGGAAAAGAAGTCGCTTCTAATATCGGGTAAATATGTATACGTTTCACTGCTGAATCATTGCATATAACGGTATTTTATTTCTAAAGAAAATGCAAAGCACATGCGATGGGTATTTTTCTTTGCTTGTATTTAAACTTTTGTCCCGCATGACATTATGTTTTTAATGGATTTACCGTTATTTACGCGACTTTCAATATTTTTTTTGTCTTTGACTGTATCTTTTTCCTCCGGTTCGTGTAATTACTCAAATTAAATATTTTCTCTGCAACTGAGATTATAAAATTTTGAGGTTTCACAAATAAGATAAGAAATTTCGGAAAGTGACGACAAGTTTTGAAAACATCGAGCGCCTTGTACTAACCAAACACAGGCGTCAGATCAGTTTCGCCGACATTTTAGAAGCAAGAATATTGATAATGTAGAGTAATAAGGGGTGTGACCCATTGGGTTTATTCCGAAAAAGAGTCTTTAAAAAAAAAACAAAAATTTCAGCCAAGAAATTGAAAACGATATTCAAGTTATATCTGCGGAAATAAGGTAATAAAAACGATATTTCGATGGTGTGAAATTCAAATAAACCCTTAAGTGTTAGCAGCGGTAATCTGGCGCTTAGTAGTACACAAAGCGAACCACAAACTAAACCAAAGATGATGAAAAGATCCAAAGAAGTAATTTTTCCATTACAGTGGCACTGCTCAGGATTGTTATAAAAAATGCCGATTTTTGAGCGCTCTCACGAAATAAAGAGTTTCGTATCTAGTCATCAATGAACAGCAAACGACAGCTGAGCGTAACAAAAGAAAAAAAATGAATTTGAGAATATGACACATACATATGATTGCTAGCACGTGTCTGTGCTGATTGGTCCATCGTCAATCTGACCGTATATAAATGTCAAAAATATACATGCATACATATGGCGAGTAAATGAATATGCTTACCTCCCTCCAGACATAAATAAGATTTGAAAGCTAAATTTTCATATTTTTTATATAAATACACATTTTTTTTTAATTTGAATAATAAATTGTTTTATATATACATATATTTATGTATTTTAGCTTTTTTTTGCAGTTTAATTTGGTTGATTTATATTACATATTGGTTGCATTATTTATAATACATTTTCCTGTTTGCATTTTTTTAGGCGCTCATATGCATTAACAACTATAGAACATACCAAATTCTAAAAGTATGTATTTTTTATGTATATATTACAAGGTAGCTAAGTTTAGTAGTGAAATTATTTATGCTAATACATATGAACACACAATATATATGTATGTATGTCAAATTTAGTAGCGCTTATTAATAATAATAGTAATAAAATAAATTATTATAAATAAATTTTTTCCAGTATTTTATTTTTATGTTTATTTTTATTATTATTACTTATTTTTTTTAACTTTTTTTCAAATCTACTGGTTGTACACAATCCAAATACAATTATTATTTGCTTTATCTATTGCAAATTTTTTTCTGTTTTAGCCAATTTCATTAGGCTTTACTACTAGTTAATTTGCCATTGCGGCACTTATAACGGCATAAATTTATTCCGCATTATGCTATGTATGTGCCATTATATAATATTTTAGACTTTATCAATGCGTTCTTGTGAGTAGTGTAGTGTAAAACGTTTTTACTAATGTGTTTTGCCAAAAAAAAATATAAATAGTTATCAATTTTTGGCTTTTAGGTATGTACAAGCATGCATATATTCTCATTATAATTATTATTTAATTTTGCCAGCTTTGTTTTGTGGAAAAACTGCTTTTGAAAGCATTAAAAAAATAAATAAATATTAAATATTTATTTGTACATGGGTATGTACATGTGTTCATTCATTCAATATAAATATCAATTATATTATTGTTATGAAAATTCCGCTTTCTTGAAAACGTAGCTATTTTACTTCAGCGCAACATCTAAGAATCACAACAAAAATTTTCCAACTGTTTCAGCTTTACACAAAAATAAATAAGGAATTATAATGAAAATAAACAGATGAAGTTATTCAATTTACAGCTGCGTGTACTTTATAGTATATGGACATTTGACAATAGCTAAGATTCTTCTATATATATACCTATAACGTCTTTATCACATTTTAGTAATAGGCGCACATTCAAGTATTTATGCTTACTTCATACAAATATGTATCTCTTTATTCAACTAGTTGCATACATCACAATTTCGTTAAGCTATGTCGCCTAAGTCTAGGAGATGTACATATGTATTTTTTACATCCAATTTATATGTATATAATACTTCTAGCTATACAAACATATTACTCTCATATCCAATACGGTTTTTCACATAACTTTCTGAACTACCCATTGGGGGTTTCAATTTATTTTACATTTATTTGCAAAGAAAAAACCTCACGAAGGTATTTGCGGTGACTTGGCGTGTGGTAGAGTTGAAAAAAAAAAAACTCTGAGGCGACCAACAAATCCGCGCTCTGCTGTTAGCGTTATCGGCAACCACATGACATATTGCAAAAATGGGAAGAAAAAATCACATACAGACAGCAACAACACCATACAGCCCAATTTTTTCTGCTCTGCGATTTTACAAAATCATCAACAATAACTGCTGATTATGATGTTGTTATGTACAAATTTCATTCGAATTCGCCAGCACTGAATTATTACTACTATTCGTGTGTTTTTCTATTGTATTCGCCGCCGAGCCGCTATTTATACTCGCACATTTGCCATTGGTTACAATCGCATTTGGATGAGCATTCGTAAGCGTTTTGGTATCTGCAGATGTTGTTGGCGTTGCCGTTGTTGGTACTGTCGCCGTTGATGTTGCATTTGTTGAGTAGATTTGTTGATTTGTTGTAAATGTATTGTCTGAATGGTGGTTGTCGTGCACACTCGCAGACGACATAGACATTGTACCAATTGTTGTATTTGCATTTGTTGTTGTTGTTGTTGTATCAATTGTTGACTTAACATTGTTTTTGTTGTTTTTGATGCGATTCAACGCCGCTTCACGTTCATTAGCATCGAAATACCATACAGTAATGGCGTAGCGGGTGCGATGTGAGGGTTGTACTTCGTGAGGATTACGTCTATCGGACCAGAAAAAGATCAGTCGATCGAATTTCGGCTCGATATCAGCAACTGAATTACCGTGCTCTGGGAAAATTCTAAAATAAAAAAAAATAATAAAAAGAAAATACTTATTGTAGAGTTTCAAATATAAAAAACAATGAAAAAGTAATGAAATAGAAATAAAATTGAATTCAATTCAATTTATAAAAAAAGTACATTAAAATACAAAACATTTAGTTGAATAAGACTAAGTAAAATATAATCAAAATAATAAAACGAAATAAAATTTAATATAAATAGTGAAATAGAATAAAGTAAAATAACAAAATAAAAATTGAATAAAATAAGTAAAAAAAGTAAAATTAATGAAGTAAAATAAATTAAATTAAATAATAATAAATTAAAATAAAATAAAACTAATAAAAATATTAAAATAAAATAAATAAATAAAAATAAATAAAATAAGTTAATTAATACAAAATAAGAAATAAATATAATAATAGACAATAAAAAGCGCGCAAATAATTAATGATTTAATGATATATAAAATAAAGGAAAACAAAATAAAATAAATCAATAATAAAGTAGAAGCGAAATTAAAAATAAAACAATAAAAAAAAAACAAAGAAAAAATAATTAAATAAAGAAAAATATAAATATTTTAATATGAAATGAAATAAATAAATAAAAATTAACTTAGAAATAGTAAAATACTAGAAAATAGCTTAAAACAAAGAAAAATAAACTTAAACCAGAATAAATTACACTATAATACCAAAAAAAAAAAAAATATGACGAAATAAAGAAACAAAAATTTTATTAATTTTCTAGTTTAATAAAGAAAAATAGAATTAATATGAATTTAAATAATTAAAAGGAAATAATATAGGAAAATGAAATAAAATCAAAAAATTTTAATAAAACACAAATACTGACAAAAACAAATAAATAAAATAAAAATTGGTATTAATATACAAAAAAAAAAAAATAACTAAATATAAATTAAAAATAGTAAAATACAGGAAAATAAAATCAAACAAAAAATAAAACAAAATTAAAAAAAAAATAAGTAAAAAAAATAAATAAATAACAATATCACAAAAAAAAAAATTATGAAACAAAACAAGTAAAAATGAATATAAACTAAAATAAAAATAGTTAGTTAAATAGTGTAAAAAAGTAAATTAATATAAATTAAAATAGAAAGAAAATATCGTAGATAGGTAAGTAAATTAAAGTAAAATAAATTAATTAAAGTAAAATAAATTAAAACACAACAAATTTTAATAAAAAAAAAAACCAAAAACGTCATACAAAAATGAATAATAATTAAATCTAAAAAAAAAAACAAAAAAATAAATAAAGTAAAATAAAATAAAACCAAGTAAAATCAAATTAAAATATAATACAAAAAAAAAAAACAATAAAAAATATATCGAAAAAAAATTAAAATAAAAAGCAAACCGAAGTAAAGTGAATTAAAATAAAAAAAATTAATTAAATAAAATGTAATAAAAAACGAAAAAGCATAAAAAATTAAAAATTAAATAAAAACAAATAAAATTAAATTAAACTTAATAAAATTAAAATATAAATATTATCAAATAAAAAGAAAATAATTTGAGATTAAAAATTATTGAAATAAATAAAAAAGTAAAGTAATATAAGACAGAAACAAACAAAGTATAACAATAATATGAAGTAAAATAAAATAAGAATTATAATAAAATATTGTTAAATAAAATTAAGGGAAAAAAAATATAAAAAAATGAACTAAAATAATATATAACGAAAAAAATATATAAAATAACAAAACCATAAAATAATATCAAACAAAAAATTAAATAAAATGAATTATAAAAAGGTAAATAAAAAAATTAATTGGAATAAAAACTTAGTTACACAAGAAGCTTAAAATCAAACAAACATAAAAACAAATTTAATAAAGGTTACAAAAAATAACAATAATATTGTACGACCATAAAACATATATTCTATATTTAGCACTTTAAAGCTTACCGTAAGACGCCACCACTGCGTTCCGTATCCCAATTGACATTTAAATAGTAAATAGCCGTTATAACACGACCATCTTTATTCGGATTATCGACATGCACAACATAATGTGAGCCGGAACCCGGGTAGCAAGCTACCATAGCCTATAAAAACAGAAGAAGAAGAAAACAATATTTGTAATTGATTGTATTTTAATTAAAAATTTTAATTTTGCTGAAAGTTATAAACAAATTTGGTTTTTTTATTTGTTTTTTTTTTATACCTTTGTTCTCTCCTTAATATTATAGTTGCCCAATTGACCATTATTTTTCATTGTATTTGCCCTGCAAATTACTGCATCAATCTGTTAAGCGAAAATAGAAATAAAATAAAAAAAAAAGACAAATGAGCATTATGAAGTAATATATAAAAAACCGCATTATAGTAACGTACCTGATTTATCAAATATCCAACATTTGCACAGCCTGGCTCCACACCCTTAACCCACGTTATCTTATCGCCACGTATTGTACGCAGCTTTTCCTCACGCAAGTTATTCACCAATTGACCGTCCTTAGAAGTGAGTAAAAGATAAGGAAAAAATCAGCAACACTTTTAAAATGACTGCACTTTGTTTTCTGCTTACCTGGAAAACGCCAGCTGAATACATGCCGTGAACTTCATTGAGTATTTGCAAGCCCTTCTCAACACCAAGAAAATCATCGACCACCGAGAGACCATACTCATTCATGTCATTTATAATGTTACGACATAAATCATCATAGCGCCGTTCACTGAAATGGAGCAAAAATATATTTCATATTAGTAAAGAGGTTTTTAATTAATTCCATAAAAAATATTGTAAATGAGATTGTCGCCTTAAAAGGAAAGAATTTTAAATTGGGCTGGGATAATACATAAATATACATGCATAGGTAGATATGTACTTATGTATGTATGTATGTATGTATATCTTAAAATTACCTTCAAAAATAAATCAAAATAAAGTTCACTATTAGCCCTTAACTAAACATTTTCATACAAGTTTCTTTGTAAAACTTGATTGATTTCAACGCTTGCTTGCCTACTGCGGTCTGCTTGAGTACGAGCGAACTACGTGAGGTTGAAAACGTTTACCAGTCAACCACAAAATACACTTGTGCGTACCTATTTTATGTCGTAATCTTACTATTTCACTTACAGTACATGCGCCATGACATAGAGGAAAGAATACATGGTGTACACATAAAGCATAAAAACCTGCGCAGAAACCTGAACGAATGAAAAAAGTTCAGCAAAAGTACGTAAAATTATTTTGTCATGAGCTAAGACGTTGAGCCGGTGACATCAAAACAAAAGAAAGGAAACAAATCAAGTTTTTAAAACTTTTAAAATCTCATAATAAATTATTATGTTTTTCTTACAAAAATCTTAAATTAAAATTTTCAGTTATTTCAAATGACTTTTTTTTCGTATTGCGCAGCAACTTTAGATTATGTTAAAAAATTTAATTGTTTTCTCAATTAAAGATCGTAAATATAATATTATATTGTCAAAATTTTTGGTTCAGATAAATATTTTTCTTCGATTTTTTTGGTCTCAATTGCGTTAACTAAGCCATATAAAATTAGATTAAAAAAATTAAATTTATAAAATAAACAACAAAACTGAGAAATAAACAAAATTTATTAAATAAATAAAAATAAAAATTTTAGGAAAACAAAATTAATATAAAATTGAAAAAAAAACTAAAACTTTAATAGAAATCTAATAAGATGTTAAAAAAATAAAATTTGAAGGGTAAAATTAAAATGATAAAACCAATAATAATTTAGAAAAGTAAAAACTTTTGTAGTATACAAAAATATAACAAAATCAAATCTTTATTAAAAAATTAAAAAGTTAAAAATATAAAAAATACATTAAAAGAAAATATATATCCACATTAAATATCAAATATTTAGAAAATAAGAATAAATAAAATAAAAATTAAGAATTTATAAAAAATAAAAAAACAATTAAAGGAAATATAAAAATATATAAAAATAAAATTAAAGAATATAAAATCAAAAAATAAAAAGCTAAAAAAGTTATTAAAAAATAAATTTAAAAATTTATTATAGAAAACTTAAGAAAAATACAAACTTATTAAAAAAAAAAAATAAAAAAAATTATAGAAAAATTAAACATTACATAAAATGAAAAATTAGAACAAAAATTAAGAAATTAAAAAATATAAACTTAGAAATATTTAAAATTAATTTTAAAACTAAGAAATATTTACAAAAAAATTATTAAAATAAAATACAAATTAAAAAAAAATAATAATAAAAACAAAAACATTAAAAACTAATATTAAAAGAGTTGACAATTTAAGCAGTATTAAACTAATAATTTTTTTTTTTAAATTTATAACAAAAAATGAAAAATTTAAGAATTAAAAATTTATAAAAAATAAAAACACAATTAAAGGAAAATAAAATAAGAGAATATAAAATCGAAAAATATAAAGCTAGGAAAACTATTAAAAAAATAATTTTAAAAATTTATTATAAAAATCTTAAGAAAAATACAAACTTATTAAAAAAAATAAAATAAAATTTATAGAAAAATTAAAACAAAAATTCAGAAATTAAAAAAATATCAATTTAGAAATATTTAAAATTAATAATATTTACATTCATTTATTTAATTGATATTTAAAAGAAAATAAATAAAATAAATTAAAATACAAATTAAAAAAAAAATAATAAATACAAAAATATTAAAAACTAATATTAAAAGAGTTGACAATTTAAGCAGTATTAAACTAATAAATTTTTTTTTTTAAATTTATAAAAAAAAAATAAAAAAATTTATAACAAAAATGAAAAATTAAAAACAATATTTAAAAATTAAAAAATTTAAAAAATATATAAAAATTAAAATGGTAGACAAATTTACGAAATATTAAAAACTTTAAGGAAATTAGAATGTCAAAAAATTAAAAATTAAATAAAAATATGTAACTTTTCTTAATTTCAAACAAAAGCTGTGATTTATAATGAACAAATATTCAATATGATCAAAGTTGAGCTGAAGACAGAGATTTTTATTTATGTTATCGAAATAGTTAATATCGCATTATGGATGCATTTTCATGCATTACAAATCAATCTAAAAATAAAGTTGGAAACATCAATCAAGTTTGCTTCGAAATCCAACAGAATACTAGCTTCCCCGGTAGAAAAAAGGTTTATTTATAAAATATGTATAAATGCGCGCACAAAGCAATTTTTTCCATAAATTTAGACCAAATATAAGTACATGCATACTCGTATGGTAGACGATAATATTAAAAGGCTAATCGACATAAATTTTTAATATGAAACTCAATTAGCACATACAAATGTTATTGTTAGTTTTTTATATTGAAAGTAAATTAGTGCTTAATATAATAATAATAAATCGAAAAAATTCCCAAAAAAAGCAATGTTGATAAATATTACATAACAAAAATATTATAAAAGCTACGCAAGGTAAATTATTCGATGAGTAAATTTTTGCACTGCTTGCAATGTAAAAGAGTTCATTTTAAAATACAAAAAATAAAAGAATTGTTGAAATTTTTTTCCCTGCGAAAAACTAAAGAAAAATGTAAGTAAATCCCCTCCAAAATTTTTAGAAATGAAATTTATATTCTTTTCTTCTTACGAGAATACCATAATAAAGAGTTTTACAGCTTTTTATACCTTCTATGTATGTATGTATATGAAATAGGATATTAACTTTGGTCAGAACAGAAGAAGGTAACAGAAGAAAAAGAGATCAGAATTTTACACCGACCGGGTCAGTATGACGAGTTGGGTTGATTTAGCCTGCCTCATCTGTCGAAGATCTGTGTATAATTTCATAAAGTTCAGTTGAACAGCTTTCGAGAACTCTTGACTATCGACTGTGGAGACACAGTTTCTCAGAAAAACAAGTTTAAAGTTTAAAGCACTGTGCCACCTAGCATTGAGCGCGCATCGAGATGTTATAGAAATTAAAAAGGTAGCAAAAAAATGATTTTATTGTATGAACCTCTCAATTATGCGATCTTAAGTCAAACGGGGAGTTAGAAATAAAACGACCGACATGTGGCACAAAGACGTAGTTGTTGCCTGATTACAGTGAGCGCACGCAAATTTTTTTTTCACCCCAAGTATACAACGAAGAACAGATTGTGTCCAAAGAACAACTCCTTTGGGAGCACCTTTTATTAAAACAAGAAATTCAATGTTTCTATTTTTTGTTAAATTTCAGCAAACCCAAGTAAAAAAAAAATCAAATCTCATTTTAATTAACACTTTAACATTTACCCATTATCCAAGGTATCGCGGAAAAACTGTTCCGCATTGGATGGTTGTGCCGGCCGCTTGAAGAAATTCTCATAATCGCTGACTTTAGAGGCGAACATTTTCGCCGATTTTTTATTAGTATTATTTGGCGTTTGTTTGCAGTATAAACTTTTGGCTTTCAGCTTTTTATTTAAATATGTGTGATGATGATGTTGGTTGTTGTTGTTATTTAATACTTGAGCTTTCATTGAGAACGTGTAAATAAATGCGTACGGTGCGAGTAATTTAAATAAAATAAAAAATAAGTAAAAATCACAGTTTTTTTGAGGTTTTGATGTTGTGGTTGCTGTTGCTGTTGTGGTTGAATCACCAGTGATATGCGCGTATGGTTAATGATGGCAATGGTGATGTATGTATGTATGTATATTTTTTTAGTTCGTTGTGGTCGCGAGACTTTGAACAAAATATACACTTGGCAAAGCCGACAAATGGAAGCGTGAATGAGAAATCACAGTTTGGAAATCAGTTCGGCCTTGTAAAAGCGTTTTTTTGGTCTTTTTTTTTTGAAATTTATGCTCTTTAAGTACTACTTATTACTTGTTTTTAGTTTACACTGAACAATTTTATTTAATTTTTTTCAATGTGCATTTAATGTATATTTATTATATATTTTATTATTAATATTTTTGTTTTATTTAATCTTGACTACTCTGTCTTTCTGACACGCACAAGCCAATTCTTTGTGAGTGTGGCTAACACAAAATCTTTAATTGGCTTTTAGTGTATGCGTGACACACCCCCTTTTTGCCCGACGCAACGCACCGTAACGCAGGTCTGCGCGGCAGCGTTTTCGTGCTGTAAGCAGCGACGTAACTTTGGTATCTATTGCTGGGGAATCCGTCGTAGCAAAGTAAGCAGTTGGCGGGGCTACGTGATATTTGAGTTTGGTATTGACTTTATATTGCTGTTGTTGTTGTTGCTGCTGTTTAGTTGTGTCGTCTGCACGTACGCATCGGTAAATATGTATTTAATACGTACATTCGTACATATATGTATTTGTAGTGGTATGTCTCCAGCTGTTGTTAGTCGCTTCTTGGTTCAATATAAGGCGCCGACTATATTTCTCTTTAATAGGTTCTCACTGTTGCTTATTCAGTTATTTTATTTTTAACACAATTCCGTTATTGCAATCGTCGGTGCATTGGCAAAAATTTTCGGCAATAAAATTGCTTTATAACTTATATTTTTTCTATAATCTTTCTAATTCCAAGAGACTTAGTCACTTTAGTTTAATTTTTTTTTCAAATGTTTTTTGTCTCAAAAATTAATTTATTTCTTTTAATATTACAAACATCAGTTGTAAGCGAAATTTTTTAATTTGTCTCTTCTTCAACTACTTCGCGTTTTTGGTAATACATATTGAGTCTGTTTTTCTTTTCGGTACGATTTCCGTACTTTGCTTGCTCACTTAACAA